CAACAACACGGCCAAGCGAATATAATCTCACTGCAGCTCTTATTTCTTCAACTGTAGTAAGAATGCGGAGAGAAATCTGCGAATGCACACACAAATTATTTGCGGAAGTAGAACGCAAGGAAGTGATTTAAGCGGATAAGAATGAGGAAAGTAGGGAATTGCAATACGAAGGATCAAGTGATGCTGGAAGGATTTTATTATTGCTGAGAGAGCATGAAATTCCCAAGTTAACGGTGCAAGTGTATGTCTTTTAAAGGAAACTGTAATTTTCATAATTTTTACAAAGAAAACAAAACTCGAATATGATTCCTCTGATTATTGAATTTATTTTATCCATATAATTTCAATAAAATTTCCTCGAATAAGACGAATATCACATTGAAATTAATCGAAATTAAGAATTTTAAAGAATATCTGAAACCTCTTTATTACATTCAAAGTGCTATTCTACGCGCTTTAAATTTGCTTTCTCTGGATCCTTTAAGAAACCTTTAGCTGCGTGTCTGGGTAAGTCGCAGGGTCTTTTCCCACAAGGTTGCCCTGCTCAAACAGTAGTTTGCTGTTTATGTATATGCATTTAGCCCGCAGCATCGTTACATAGATGATGATGGATATTTATGTTATGAGGTGCCCGGAGTCCGTGGGCCTTTTCTTGTGGTTTCACTTCGTCCATTCCTAAGGGGCGGGGTGGTCTAATGTATTCCTCTTTCGATTCTATTTCTCCTGGGTGTTTTGTTCTGTTTAACAGCCTAAAGTCCATTAAACATACAGAATTAGTTCAATTCCGTGCAGGTGTATGTGTATATGAGCCGCTTGCTGTATTTGCATGCAAATAAGAAATATCATTGCAATCACGTTGGGCTTAAATGCTGTTAAAAGTAGCCGTCAACACCGTTAGCACGTTTGCTTGCTTGCCTTCGTTTGCCTTTCTACATATGATATGCTTATTTACCGTTAGCGCATATGTTAAGGTGTTGTCAATGAACGTTTAGCCTCGCCGAGATGACCGGTTGACCCAACGTCGTGTCTGAGAAAGCATACGAGTATGTAGAAGTTAGTGTAGGGGCGTAAGCGTCTGTGTTTGCTTACACGTACTTGCATAACGGTAATCGGTCTTATGCTATTTAGCTCATCTCAGTTAGGTATCTTCTTACCTATGCTGCATACAGATTTGCATAGATAATATTGTCCGACGGTAATCGAAGTTGCATATGTATCGTGTTTACCGTTATTATGCTGATATGTTAATGCTTTGTTGTTATGTAGTACATTAGGTCAATTTGTACTTCTGTATTGCAAATATAAAGAGAATTTTGATTATTTCACGGACAAAGCGAATGTCAATTATGCTAAGGCGATTTAGTAAGCTGAGCGAGGCTACGAGAAAACGTTGCAGCAAGAACGTTCATACACCCGTATAATCCTAAAGGGGTAAGGGGTAATTGCTCAGTTTTGCAAACACTCTCGGAGAGAGTTAGATCTAAGGAACTTAAGAAACCTGGCGGCAGCGTATTATTTAGTTAGTCGCAGCAAGTTCTGCTATCAGACTTATGGAGTTGGGACTAAAAGTGTAGTGTGTGTCTTAAGCCGAGAAATCAAAATCGAACTGCAGGTTAGGGACAGGAGTATACATTCTCCCAAAAATCTCAAAATATTCCTCTCTTTATGTGCACTGACTTCAGCTATCACCTTAAAAGCGGAAATACTAGGCATAGAAAGGGCTTAGACCTGAAGAATAAGATTTTCTGAGCGTAAATTTCTCTCTTTGAGTCAAATCACGTACCGAACCAATTTACTGTCGCGCTCCCAATGCAATTACTCACTTTTCATCTAAAATTATTTGTTTTCGCCAATAATTCCAAGCATACATTTCGTCCGTCCGAATTCCATATTAAAATCAGATGTGAGAGTATTTTTATTTCCCGCAAAAAAAAAAAAACGAGAAGAAGAAAGAATCAATTTTTTTTAGGAAGTTGTATGTGCATTTTCATGGCCACTTCACGAATCGCAAATGTAAAAAGTGAAAAAAGCGGACGAAAGCATAACAAAAATAAATATAATAGTAAAGAAGGGGCAGCAAGTCTACGCTTCCGGTTTTATGGCTGGCAGCTCACGTTAAAAGCAAGTCGTAAACTCTACCACCTGCACAGCTCCGACGCCAGCGCTGTCTGCTTGTGAGCCACTCAAATTATTCAAGCGCAGTCGAAAATCTTTGCGTTGAAAATCGAGAATGCAAACAGGCGAGCAACGGGCAAACAAAAACAAAAGCTACTAGGAAGGAACTCATTTAAAAAAGCAAATAAAAGAATTTAATAGCATTTCACTTTTTCGGTTTTTTTTCTTTTTTTTTTTTTTTTTTTTTTTTTGTTTTTTTTTTTTTCAACACAGAGAACGCGCCACACCGCACGCATTTTGGGGTAAATAAAAAATATGTAGGATTTTGATAAAACCGCATTTTGAGCGAAATAAATGCATTCGATTGTAAATCTAACGAAAAATATAGCAAAATGCAAATTGAAAAACTCACTGACCTGTAAACACGACAAATACGAATACGGCAGCGATCGTTATCCAGCCGTGGCAGCAGCAGAAGTAGTGGCGGCTGCAGTTGCAACAGCAACAAACCAATTTCAACTTGCAACCGCAAAATTTGCGTACTTCCCTATCGTTCTCGGCCCTGCATGCTCAACCATACTTTTTCACCTCAACTCAGGTGCCTCACCCGCTGCACTTCCTGTCTGCCGACGATCTGTAGCAAATTGCCTTCATTTGCTGCAAAATAGAAAATGAGTATGAATTGAGTGTTGTCCTTTGGCCAAGTACGCACGACAGCTGTTGAGAAGTATCCTTGCGCTGCATCTCATTGCGCTTGTTTACAACTCTGCTTCTTTATTTTTACCATATTTCGTTTTTTTTTTTTTGTTACCGTGTTGCAGGAAAGTTGAGTAGTGACTTGTGTAAAGAGATTGTGTAAACTGTAAGCTATTTTCCTGTTATCAACTGCTGCATTGAATTGTAGTCCGAGCCAGTTCTGCCGGAAATTCGACTGAGTAAAGTATTTTGTAAATTGGTAAGTTCTTTTATTTAATGAAGGTGCGCCCTCACTCGCTCTTCCCTCGTTCTCACCTAAAAGGATATCACAAATTGTCGGTTGATTTGCGGTCGGCCATTAGAAGCTTTGTTTGAGACATCTCCCTGAAATGTCAGGGAGACCAATGGGATCACTTTGTATATAAAGACGTGTAATTAGTGAAAAATCCTCCAGCTATACTAAGTGCCTAAAAGTATGCAAAGACCGCAAATAAAATGTATAACTAGGCTTTAATGGTGTAGTTTTGGCTTCGTTCATTTAGTTTTTTTTATGATTTGCTTACATGTATTATATATTTTTTAAGTGCCTTACGCTTATTAGAAAAGAATTTGCAATTTTTTTGTAATAATTTGCATCCTTAGTCTAATTTCAAGCCATATTCTTTCTTACAACAAAATCCATTTCAATTTTAAAGTTTTGTCTAGTTTTAGACGCTCTTAGTGTTTCAGGAAACTATTTTTAGACATCAAGTGAGATTTTAAATCTATAAATGCTCTCTTTTTTAACAATTAAGTAGCAAAAATTATTGAAATTAAAATATTCAATTATTTTCTGCTGTGAATTATAACGTGATGTAAATGCTATATATTGCATATTTTTAAGCAGAAATATACAAAATAAATTTTTTAGCTTTAAATTATATTCAAAAGCTTTAAATATAATACAATCTATGCTGTGCCGCATTCGACATTATAAATTTTAATAGTTCAGCCGAATTTCGTCATTAATTTATTGAATATTTGTTTGATTTCCTATTACGCAATTTGAATATGAAAAATGTTTTATTGTTAACGATCCTTTCACTTTCTCGACAAAAAAAAAATTATTTTCCGAACCATTAAACTCCTTCATCCATAGAGCATTCATTCCCTCTCGACTGCACTCCCTACGAATGCCGTCGCCCCCATTTGCCAAGGTATCAGATTCAGTCGCAGATTTCGAAAAGATTCCCGTCGCCCAAATAGCCAACAGAATGGCATTTAATGGATTTACTTAAACTTCAACTATCTCCACTAACACCAAAGTGCAATCAACGAAACTAACTGTTCACTGGTTTTAGCGATTCATTTTGCCATCTCTGACGCTTCCCTAAATTCAATTCAACTTTCACTTTTCCCCAGCAACGCCCAACGCCCAACGCCCGCTTTTTCACTCCTTCTGCCGTTAAGTCGTTCACGTTGATTGCTTTTTAACCAAGTTTTGCATTTCCATTTTGTAACAAAGAAAGGATAAAGAAGTAACAGCGCAGCAAGAGAAAAAAGAGCAGAAGGCATAAAGTGCAGCAGTGAAATTTATTGAAAATTCAAATATTTGCATATAACATAAAATGGCAGCAGCAGCAGCAGCAGCAGCAGCAGCCACACGATGTAGGAAGGCAGACCGAGGAAGGGCCGCAGGTGAAGGGCGTTGAGTAGGGGGTTAAGAAAAAAGTCTTTCGCTAAAAACTAAATGCGATAAGTGAGTAAATTTGCTTCCTATCTCCTGTATGTATGTGTGTGAGTCTGTGCTGGTGTTGATACCGTAATAATAAAATGTAAATCAATTTTTGCCTTCTTTCTCCCGCCACCGCCGCGTGTGCCTTATTGTGCGGCCATTGAAAACGAAAAGAATTAAAAATTTATTGACAAAATCATCATCAGCGCTTCTCTTTAATGTAATGCAACTCTGCAGTGCCACTCCTCCACCCTTCTGCCAATCATGCTCCTAAATGGCATTTTCGCCACCTTTTGCGCTGTGAAAATGTTATTTTTCGATCGAAAGTATATTTGCCCAACGCCAATTGGCACTTTGGCTTGTTTGAATAATCATTTGAATTATAATAAGCTCAATTTACATTTGTCACCGGCAACACTCTTGCCCTACTCTTGCAAGCGGTTTTAATCAGCCTCTTCCTTCTTCTCTCTTTCAGGCGAAGCGCATCCAAAGCAACGAATTGGCCGCTATTAAAGTCATCAAACTCGAGCCCACCGATGACATACAGATCATTCAACAGGAAATCATTATGATGCGCGATTGTCGACATAAAAATATAATCACATATTACGGTTCGTATCTGCGACGCGACAAGTTGTGGATTTGTATGGAGTACTGTGGTGGTGGCAGTCTGCAGGATATTTACCAAGTGACGGGGCCACTCTCTGAACAACAAATTGCCTACATGTGCCGTGAAACACTGAAAGGACTCGAGTACCTGCATACGATGGGTAAAATGCATCGGGACATCAAAGGCGCAAACATTCTGCTCACGGAGATGGGTGATGTGAAATTGGCCGATTTCGGTGTATCCGCACAGATAACCGCCACAATTAACAAGAGAAAGAGCTTTATCGGTAAGTCTATAATTATGTTTTATAACTAATATAGCGGTTTTGTATGTTATTATTCGAGAATGTTACTTTTCACTTTTTTACTCAAAAATTTCAACCACATTTAATATTACTGGATTTCAAAACTAAGCATAAAAAATGCTGCCTACATTTAGGAGCTACGATATGTGAAATTGATTTATAGTTTAAACAAATAAACAGAGAAGTCTATGCTTAACCATGCTCATCAAAGCTTTGGTAATAATTCCAAGCAAAATACCTGCTGAAGTCGCGCTTTCTTATGCTCATCAAGCTTATCTGCAAGCATCATCCAGTTTAAGAAAATATTAACGAATTTTATCTCTGTACTAATTTCCTTCAACTGTCGCAAACCATCATAATTTTTTAAGTAAAACATCATTACTTATTATGTAGAGCAAAATAGTCTAACGCAGTTGTCATAAGCCAACCTAAGAGAAGCAAAAGCAAAAGAAAATCATCAACACAGAGCGATAATTTGCAAAACTTGTAAATTTAAGCTCGGAAAAACATTGTACTTTTTTACTTGTAATATTAGAAATTCCTTATAAAAAACTAGCAAGGACATTTCATTACAAGTCCTGTTAACTAAGCAGACGCTGGAGAAAATATGGGAAAATTAAGAAAAATAGAAAAAAGAAAGAAAGCTTGTAAAAGGTATCAAGGCGTGTCTAATAACAACTGAAAGGAGAGCAACGAAATGAAACCCCCAGTCGGGGAGCTCCGCTTGGCAGTGGGAATGCGTTCAAATCGCTGGTGAGAAAAGTGGCCATTGTTGCTATTTGCGCTTCACTACTTCATGCACGGATTCTTGAGATGATGTGCAAAAGGTGAAGAAAAAAATGAAAATGCGAGACAGGAAACTGCGAAAAATGTCATGTGACACCCACAAACTCATCAAGCAAACTCTTCCAAGTATTTGTAACTAAATAACTATCATTCGCCCCATGCGCCCTCACTCTCCAGCAAGGCAAACAAGGATAAGGATGCCAGTGCATTCGACTTCCTCAATTGGTCACCATCTATTGTGGTTTCCTTTTTCTTTCAACTTTCTTCTTCTCTGTATGTTGGTGAGTTTCTGCCTTCTGCCAGCATTTGTTAAATTCTTTTCATGATTTGCTACTCCTCTCACTCTCCCTCTGTGTTATTGTTGTCATTACTATTTACTTGTTTACTACTTTTAGCTTCTTTTGTTTGGCCTACACATGTACTAGAACGTGTTTCCTTTCCTTTCCAAACACGTACATATACATATACACATGTGGGCATTAGGACAGTTCAAAATAGCATATTTTTTTATTTGGCGATTACCCGTACCGGTGTACAACAGTAAAAGCCTGGAGTTTAATAGTTTCAAGTGTTTTAGCAGTGGAAAGTTAACCTTTTTTAAAATTGTCGTAAAAACCTTTGCTGTCAGACATTTTTAATTTAGTTTTAAAAATACTTTGTCATCTACATTTTGTCGGAAAAGTGTTCTAAGATTATCACAGCGCAATATGATGTTGCTCAAAAAATATCTCTAGTTATCGTCTTAGTCGTGTCTTCGCCGCGATCTATATTCACGGTCTTTTTATGTGCAATTAAAATTGCATTGTACTTAAATACTTATTTATAAAAAATTTAATTCTGAATAAAAAAAAATAAAAGTGAAAATCAAAATAAAATACATTAAGGCAAGATTTAATTTTATAATTAACGAGCAATGAGCCTGGTGAAATCTCTCACTGCACTATTAAATATAAGAAATATAACGCAGACATCATTTTTCAACAACCCTAATATTCGTATGCCGCTAAACTAGTTCAGTTCCTGTAATCTTTTGTCGAATGAGAGTCACATTTTTTCTAATTGGCATTCCTCGTCTTTCGAGTTGCCAGCGCCGTCCATAAATGGGCTTAGCATGTTTTCAAGGCTTGTTTGCAGTTCAACTATGGCTCCCTATTACTTTCTATTGCCATTGTTTGTGCTCCTAACACAGATTTTTAATCATTGTCTTGCTTTTTTTGTAATTTACTTGGTATAAAATTGGAATTGCGTATTTTCGCTTTTATGTTTTTGGATTTCTTATGTTTTCAGTGCAGCTTTTTAGGTAATTTTCTCCGTTTTTTCGTGTCTTCCTATGTAGGGTTTTTGCTCGGAATTTCTTTTCAAAATATACCATGTAAAATTGTTAACACTTATTATTCTGCGGTTAGCAACATCTGTGACCTAGAAACCTCTTCACCCCTCTCTTCCTCCGGCCGTAGCCTCATTTTAATATTCACTCCGCTTAATGAATTTGTGGCTGAAACTGTGCAAGCCATGTGTGTGTGTGTTAATAATAGATTTTATTCACATTTCCGTTCTTAATTTTAGAATTAATTACATTTTCGCAAATGCATACATATTCGGAGTTTTGGTGCAAATTTATTATTTCCGTAGCCTCTTATGCCTCTATAGAATGCCCTTTTACTTTATATAGGCAAGAACCTAAAAGTATGCAATTTCACATTTCACTGACGTCATCATATTTGCTGAATACAGTTTTATCCTCCTTTGCGGCAAAGCTATTTAATTTGTTTGGAAATTGAGTTGCTTGTATTTGATTGTTTTAGCTGAAAAACAGTTTTGTTACTAAATAAAATCTTTCTATGGTTAAAATATTCACTGCTCTCTTTTACATGGAGTATTAAAAGAAAGTTTAAGGAGAAATTCGTTCCAATACTCCTACAAGGCAAAATTCTTCGATAAGTCAGCTGGCAAGAAATTGATTTTTATTTTTTTATATTCAATTAGCATACGTTTTGCAGAAAAATGTGTTAATTGAATTTTAAAAAAATTCCTTTCCTTCTTATGTTGTTGAGCATAATTTTTTTATTACTTATTTTTTCATGAAATTTTATTTTATTTTTTTCCGAAAAACCATGATATAAAAATGTAACTAAATTTTAGTAGAAGTAAATTTTTATATCATAAAAAGCTACCAAAGAGGTAGGATTTTTATTTTAAATAGGAATATTGAATATCCTCTGAGTAGGCAATTAGCGCCAAAGAGCTCAAACAATCGTTGAATCAGCTTTGCGGTGAATTTAATTCGCAGTTTAAACACGCAAATCGATTTCATTACCCGCCCTTCCCTGATATTGCCTTTAAACACACATCAAATTCTTCGCCTCACTTTAATTTGAAATCGAATACAATACCGTTATTGCTTCAATTACATTTTAATCACTTTGTAATGTGAAGAGTGGCGAAATGAAAACTCGTAACAACAACAAAAGCATACAGTCCTCGGCCATCCTAGGCAATTCATAGCAACGTCGCGCAGCTGAGTGGAAAATATCGACTGATAAAGTGGAATGTGGCATGCTGTTGATTAAATTAATTAATTTTAAAAATATATTTAATATGTTTCACTTTTACTCGACAGGCCGCAGAGTCATGAATGCGGCAAGGACCATATGTGCTTGCAAGGACATGTACTCAGCTGGAACGTAAAAACATATGCCCAATGTTGATGTGAACGAATAAATATTTATTTGTCTTTGCTTATGTGCCTATGTTTGTGCACGCTCAACTCAGCTCTAAGTTGGGTAAATTCGTTTGATAATTTCGAAATCGTATTGCAACGCTGTCAAGTATTTCTGGCTCTCTATGCCCTTAAGTAGCCGTCTCTTGGTGATTTTTTATTTTTTTCTAACACTTTCTTTGTTTATCTATCTTCCTTTCCGCTTAGCCTTCTCCTCGCCGCTAGTTTTCGGGCGCCGCGTTGACACCATACAATTTTACACGCTCCATTAAAATGTCAATCAGCCCGAGCGTCCAATGTGCGCTCAGAGAAAACGAAAAGCGAGAAGTATAAATAATAATGATAAAAAAGCAAACTGGCAAATAAATTATAATGGCCAACCATTGGAAGCGAAGCGCACGTCTGTAGATGACTACTGAAGCTCCACAGCGACCGCCACAGCGGGTCACTCAAAAATGTCTCTCTCACTGAGTGTGATAGTGTATATGTGTGTAAAACGCATTTCATTTAATTATCGCCTGTTATTCTTTCACTGTCATTTAATTGTGGATTTCGCATTATTTTCGTATGCCAGTCATGGAATAAATTCGAAATTGTTGACTTAAAAGCAACAAAAACAAAATTACAGAAGCAACGTCGATCGCAGTGACACAAAACAACGGTAACAGCTGGCCGCGGTTGTGGTGAGTACTACAGTGCGGGAGTATAAGAACGGGGCAAAGTGCAGAGTGGAGACCAGCAGTGAAAATTTAAGCAATTTTTTTGAGCAGAAAGAGGGTTAGACATCTGTTTAATATTGTTTACCATAATACAGCCGAGTTTTGCTATTGTTGTCAGCTATTAGCCCATATTTACGATTGCATTGTTGATGATGGCAAAAGTAGACCAATGTTTGGTTTAATAAAAGGAAGCTGTTGACTTCATTTGATTTAATGCGTCACATCCGAAATCCTTCGCATGATAAGGGTTCACACGCCTAAAACTATGCAATAAATTTAGTCCTGACCTTAATATTGTTGGCCGTCGCATTGGCAGTAGTTGTGGGGGCGAAAGCTAACGGTAAAATGATTGACAAATAAATAGTACAGCGAAAAATGCTGTTCCGAAATACGGGAAAAACGGAAAGTTAAATAAATGAGAAATGCTGCTCATACGCCACGACAAACAGAAAAGCTTTTATAATGTTATTTCTTTATAAATTTGTTTATAACGAAAATATTCGTATGAAATTTGCAAATTTAAATCAAATAAAAATTGCCCTATCACTTTGAGCAAGCGGCAATCGGAGCGGAGGCGTACTGCAAAACGGCATTGTAAACACAGACAAATGCTTGAAACAACAACAACAACACAAAAGTTTCACAATTACAATAAATAAATAAACGCAGACTAGCGAAGGCGACGAAGCAGAAGCCAATGAAATCAAAATGCTGGAAAATTTGCTGGCAAATAAGCGAAATGAACAGGGAAAATGTTT